TATAGAAAAAAATTATATATAAAAGAAAAAATATAGAAGAAAATAGTAGAAAGAAAATTGTAATTTAATTAATATTATATATTACAGCTGGTACTATTAGATTTGTCTCTATCTAGGGCTGCCCAACACAACCCTTTACAAGGCACTGCAGCTGTAAATAATTTTGTAAAATTTAGGGGATAGGAAGGAGAAGGGAGTCAAAATGAGATTTTCTTGCCCATTGCCTCAATTAGTCTGTTTTGTTTGTTTCTTTTTGTTTGCTTGCCTTTTTAGGGAGAAAAAAGAATCATTTTTGTTATCTGAAATAGTAGAACTATTTCCATAATTTTAACATTCATAATCTCTTTCCATAAGTAATTAACGTGAAGGAAACTATTTATTTTACGCTGAACTTCTAAGGAATACTGCAGACTTCTTTATGGTTGACAAGGATAAATTTTCTAAGTTAGTACAATTGTGCATTAGTTTGAGAGGGAGAAGAGAAACTGATGGATTTGGGATGAAATAAGGGAGCTCAGCCTGCTCATGCTTCTGTACTTTCTACCACCATCAAGTATCTAGGACTACTGAAAGTACAGCTTGTTTTATATGTCTAATGTAAACAAAGAAATAAATGCTACTGCTCATGTGTCGTGGGTTAACCGAGCCAGCAACTGAGCACCACACAGCTGCTCGCTCACTCCCCTTGTCCCGGTGGGATGGGGGACAGAATCAGAAGAATAAAAGTGAGGAAACTCGTGGGTTGAGATAAGAACAGTTTAAGAATTGAAATAAAGTAAAATAGTAATAATAATAATAGTAATAAAAGAATATACAAAGCAAGTGATGCACAATGCAGTTGCTCACCACCCATCGACCGATGTCCAGCCAATCCCTGAGCATCAGCCCTCTGGCCAGCTTTTCCCTAGTTTATATACTGAGCATGACGTCACATGGTATGGAATATCCCTTTGGCCAGTTTGGGTCAGCTGTCCTGGCTGTGCCCCCTCCCAGCTTCTTGTGCACCTCCAGCCTTCTCAGTC